TTTCTTTCTTTCTTTCTTTCTTTCTTTCTTTCTTTCTTTCTTTCTTTTTTATTATACTTAAGTTCTAGGGTACATGTACACAACGTGCAGGTTTGTTACATATGTATACATGTGCCATGTTGGTGTGCTGAGACAGAGCCTCACTATGTTGCCCAGGTTGGTCTACAAAGTCCTGGGCTCAAGCGATCCTTCCACCTCAGCCTCCCAAAGTGCTGGGATTACAGGCATGAACCACTGACCAGCTACCCTCCTTGATGAAACAAAACTCAGGATCTCTACGTTTGGCCTTGGATAAGCAGTCTCCTCTTGAAAAGGGGCTTCTGCATCTCACAGTATGGCTTTGTGTTCCACAAGATTCTCCTTGCCTTGGAGGCAGTTTTCCTAGTTACCTCATTGGCCTAGGGGTGTGGTGGAGATCATCCCCTTTTTAATATTCTGGCTCAAGTGTGCTTCCAGAGCCCAGCTGAACTGAAAGTAGAACTTTTCATCTAAAAGTCTGGGAAAAATGAGACAGAGCCATCGTGATGTGCCGTGAAATCAGCCCAGCTCACCCATATTGGTGGCTCCCAAACCTAGCTGTGCATCAGAATCATCTGGGTATTAAAAATGAGATTCCTGGACAGTTTGGCTTCAGACCTTGAGCTAGTATTTGGAAAGCCCTGGAAGAGCATTCCAGGCTTCATCTCACCCTAAAGTCTTATCAGCCTCCTGTGTATGGGCACCATCTTAACACCTGCCACCACCTGAGAGAACTCATTGTCCTACTTGTTCACTATTGTATCCCAAGCATCAAGTGTAGTGCCTAGCACAGAGCAGGACCTCAGAGAATACAGTGCTTGCTGAATGCTGGCTGGCAGTGCAAAACAGGACTGCTTAGTTCCTGTTTCCTGCCTGGAGATAGGTCTCTTACCTGGTCATATACCACCTTCTGGGCACACCACACTTACCCAGCCACAGGGTATTCTGATTCTTATATTACAAGTCACAACCTGATCATCACCACTGAAGGACAACCCTGTGTGGGTGTTGGAGGGCATCTCTCTCCCACCAAAACGTTTCCCGACTATTTTTCCCTCTGAGACTCTGAACATGTCTCTAAATCAGGGCATGCCAGGTACACTCAAACCAGTCTTGTCATTTATGGTTTTCAAGAGGGACACACTCACTTTATTCCCCCCTGCTCCCACTCCCATTTGGCCACATCTGAGCCTGCAAAGACAGAAAACCCTTGCCCCAGAGATCACCCAGCCTGACAAAGTCACTTGTGCCCCATCTGCCCTCACCTTGTCCTCAAGCATGATGCCTCTTGCTAGTTCTAGTTACAAAATAAAAACTCCCTTGTCTATAAGTGGTAAACAAATATGGCTGTGTGTATGTAGAAATGAGCGTTGTCTTCATTAGCAATAATATACCGGAAGTGCTTTATTACACATCCTTGAACTTTACTACAATTCTGCGATATAGGCAAAATATGAAGAAACCAAGACTTGGTTGTGATTTGCTCAGTAACTCAGAGGCAGGAAGTGATGTAACAGAAACTGGAACTCGATGTCTTTGACCTCAAGCCCAATTATCTACTACTAATTTTGTGGCTCAGTGCTCCTGTTCATCCTGAACATTTTCAGGCCAATTTATGGGAAGAAGGTAACAGAAGCTTGCCTGGTGAAGTTGGGCAGTTGGCCTAGTGTTAGAAATTTGCTGTGGGTAAGAATCTGCATAGAGACATATAGATGATTAGAAACAATTCTAGGAAGGGGATCTCCAAAGAGATTTCTTTTAAAATGTGAATGTGAAGAAATTGAGAAGCAGGAATGGGTAGGGGATGAGGAGCAGTGTCTGGAGTCCTGTATTAATTTGTCTCCCTTAGTATTACTTGGAGTTTTACCAAGAGCTTGTATTACTTTTCTTATTTTTTAGAAGTAAAGATGCAGGAAAGAAAATAATATTTTTGTATGTGATTATAAGGATGTGTTCATCTCATCAATTGGAAGCTAAATTTGTTTTTCCTATGAACTAATGATGAACAATGAAAACTAAAGCCTCAGGTCCAGTAAGTGGATGCTATGACGAGAATTTCCATCCCTAGCAGGGGGGCCATATGACTCATGCAGGCATCAGGGGCTGTTTTCTCTCATAATCTAACACAGCAGCCAGAATTATCCTTTTAAAACATTAATCAGATCATGTCACTTGCCGGATTTGAAACCTCTTGGTGACTTCCCATTATATCCAAGGCAAATCCAACCCCTTTCCCTGGTCTCTGAGGTTTTCCATATCCTTCATGTGGTATGGCTTGCTAACCTGATGTGTTGAAGTGTGTCCTCCAAAAATTCATGTTGAAGTCCTCATTATCTCAAAATGTGACCTTATTTGGAAACAGTGTTGTTGCAGATGTAATTAAGTTAGAATGAGGTCATACTGACGTAGGGTGGGCCCCTAATTCAATATGACTGTTGTCCTGATAAGAAGGGGAAATTTGGATGCATGGAGAACGTCATGTGAAGATGAAGGCACAGATGGGGTGATGCTTCTACAAGCCAAAGAACTGCAGAGATCACCAAAAATCCACCAGATGCTGGGGGAGAGGCGTGAGACAGATTCTCCCTCCCAGCCCCCAGAAGGAACCGACTCTGCTGACACCTTGATCTTGGACTCGTAGCCTCCAAAACTGTGAGACAGTACATTTCTCTTGTTGAAGCCCCCAGTTTATGGTACTTTGTTATAGCAGCCCCAGCAAACTAACATGCCTCCTCTTACCACTTACCCTCTTCTCTCACTTGCCCTCAGCACAGTATCTTTTTTTTTTTTTTTTTCAGTTACACACACACACCAAGT